ATCCAAATGCAAATTCTGGAGGGCTGCAACCGGAAGAAAGAGCATTGGAACAGTCAGGTCTCTTCATCAACAACCTGTTTGGTCAGTGTTGTCCCTAAGAAATGAAACTTTAATCTGTTACCTGATCAAATAACATCCCATAAACCAATGGTTGTGAATGCTGCCCACACACAGGGATCGCCTAGGAGACCCTTGAACAATACCGATGCCTCGGCCCCACTCCAGAAACTGGGACTTAATTGTTCAGGGAGTCAACAGTTGTAAAAACTCCCCAGCCAGAACTTCAAAAATAAACAAAAAGTGTTCTAAAGGACACCAGCCTCCCAGTTCCCACGTCTGGTAGGTGCTAAGCCAAAGGAAAGTCAGAGACAACTCTTCAGAGGCTTACAGAAAGGCAGATGTAGAGGTTCGGAGGGTGCCAGCCACACCCTGTAGAAAACAAAAACATTTGTCAACTTGTAGCATTAGCCCGCAGGAGCAAGTCTTCAACCATATTGCTCCCATAATGTAGGCCTTCTTTTCTTCCCACAATTCTACGATCTTATCATCTATCAATATTTTAGTAAAATTGGAATTTTTCTGAATTGATCCTAGTTTGCCATCCAAGTCTATCACGTGGCTTTTATTTATTTATTGTTATTTTATGTGCATTGATGCTTTGCCTGTGTGTATGTCTGTGTGAGGGTGCCAGATCCCTGGAACTGGAGTTAAAGACAGTTGTGAGCTGCCATGTGAGTACTGGGAATTGAACCTGGGTCCTCTGTAAAAGCAGCCAGTGTTCTTAACTAATGAGCCATCTCTCCAGGCTCCTATCTCACGGTTTTAATTGCCGCCACAAGATCAATCTATTTTTTTTTTTTTTTTTTTTTTGGTTTTTCAAGACAGCGTTTCTCTGTATTGTTTTGGAGCCGTCCTGGAACTCACTCTGTAGACTTGGCTGGCCTCGAACTCACAGAGATCCACCTGCCTCTGCCTCCCAAGTGCTGGGATTAAAGGTGTGTGCCACCAACGCCTGACTTTTTTTTGGTAAGATCAATCTTAATATTTAACAATTTCCCTGTAATGTTTCCCATAAATAATCACTCTGACAAATTTTATAGCTAGTAAACTCTTTCTCTGTGTCAATCACTCTTCCATGTAGCGGCTCATTTAATCCTCACAACATCTTATGGCCTGACTATCACTATTCTCCCATTTTACAGAGGAGGGAACTGAGGCATGGAAGGTTACTCAGTTTGTGAATGGTAGAGTGGGGATACCACACATCTATTGTGGTTTCAAAGTCCTTGCCACTCTGGAATGCCTCCCATTTATTCTCTCTCTCTCTATGTGTGTACATACATACATACATACATACATACATACATACATACATACATGTAAATATATATATGTATGTATCTGTAAATCAAATACATATTTTGTGTTTGTTTGTTATGAGACAAGGTCTCGCTATATAGGTCTGGCTGTCCTGGAACTCACTATGCAGACCAGGCTGGCCTTGAACTCACAGAAATCCACACTTGCTTCTACCTCCCAAGTGCTGGGATTAAAGGTGTGTGCCACCACTGTTGGGCCAAGATTCATGTCTTTTATTTTATGCATATGAGTGTTTTGCCTGCTGTATGTATGTGCACCATGTGCAATCCTGACGCTTGAGGAAGTTAGAAGAGGTTATTGGGTTCCCTGGAACTGGAGTTACAGACGGTTGCGAACCACTACGTGGGTACTGGGAACTGAACCTGGGTCCTTTGCAGTAGGACCGTCTTTCAAGCCCTGTGACATTCATGCTTTTGATAGATCCAGGGACCATTCTCAGCCTCCAGCTCCCTTTCCTGATTTTTACTGTAGAAGATGGGGAATCAAATACTCACTGTGTCAGCCTCCTCAGGAAGACGTGCTTCTCTGGATAGTAAACATGTCAAAACTCTTGAGATGTGTAGAAATAACAAAGAAAAATATTGTGTGCATACGTTGTGGGGAGAGATAAATATTACTCCCCCTCCTTTATTCAAATGTTGAAATCCCCAACACCGGAGGAAGTGACTGGGCAGATAAGGCCTTTAGACATGTAATTAAGGCTAAGTGAGGTCATCAGCGTGGGCCTCACCCAACAATAACTGGTACCCTCCTGAGAAGAGATTAGGATGCAGATGTACACAGATGAAATACCACGGGAAGCCTTAGGAAGGAGATGGGCATTCACAGACAAGAGAGACCTGAGAAGTCTATCCCACTGACAGCTTCTGACCTTTCAGCCCCCAGAACCAGCAGGAAAAGATCCTGTTGTTGAAGCTACTTGGTCTGTGGTGCTTTGCTGTGGCAGTGTTGGCCTAGTGATACTGTAGGCATACAATAAAATATAACCAGAGGAAAGGCCTCTCTTGCAGAAGGGACATGTAATGCTTGCATTTCACATCTTGTTTGGAAAAATTGTTTTTAAACAATAAAAATATATATTTTTTTAAATTAAGTAGGACGAAAGAAAGGAAGGCATATTTGTCTCTGAGCTGCTCACGTAACACATGTTGCTGGCTGCAGAGTTCACTGTGTCCAGGAGATAATGGTTCAAGGCATTAATTAAAAGCCACCCAGCTAGTGATGGCAATGGTATCAGACAGGAGTTCCCAATGTGCCCTCACAAAGGTGACACAGCCAACAGCCCTGTAATTCAGTCTATAATTGGTTCCATAGTGGCTATTCTTTTCTTTCCCCTCCCTCCTTCCCTCCCTCCCTCCCTCCCTCCCTCCCTCCCTCCCTTCCTTCCTTCCTTTCCTGTATAATAGTCCTGGCTGCGCTAGAACTAGCTCTGTAGACCAGGCTAGCCTTGAACTCACAAGGATTTGCCTGCCTCTGCCTCCTGAATGCTGCTGGAATTAAAGGTGCATGTCATCGCCCAGCATAATGGCTACTTGTCTTAAAGATTTCATTTATGTGTCTGTGTGTGGGTTTGTGCACATGAGTGCCAGGTCCTTGGAAATTCAAAGAAGGTGCAAGATCCCTTGGAACTGGAGTTACAGTCTGTTGTACTCTGCCCAGTGTGGGTGCTGGAACCAAACTGGGGTCCTCTGCAAGAGCAGCACATATGTCAACATCTGAGTCATCTCTCCAGCACCCTATAATGGCCGTTTTTATATTGGTTCTCAACATAATAAAGAGTGCAAGAAAAGGCAATTATATAATGATGGGGAAGTCCTGTGTATATGTCAATAAAGCACTGTTGGCCAATAGGGAAGCAAGATAGGTGGGACTAGGAGTCTAGGAGGATTCTGGGAAATGTAGTGAACTGAGTCATTGTCATGTGATCCCTGGAGAAGAGAACGAAAATCTGTCATTCTCGAAAAGATAAGTCCTTATAAATATATATATATGATTATGGGTCAATAATTAAGTCAGAGCTAGACAATGAGAAACAATAGCAAATGGCCAACAGCTCATAATTAATATAGTGTCCTGAGTGTCATTTGGGGGTTCAGACAGCTCGGCAGGGCCCAGACAGCTGGCGGGGGTGGGGAGGTGTGGGGGGGAACTACACGTTACAGTATAAGACAGGGACCAAATTATACTGTCCACCCTTACCAACAACCTCATACCTGCTTCCCCTGTTAAATACCTATTTATCCTCTCTATTCTTTTTAAAGATTGTTTATTTATTATGTATAAGAGTGTTTTTCAGGGTTTGGGGGTTGTTTTGTTTGTTTTGATTTCTTGAGACAAGGTTTCTCTGTAACCTTGGCTGTCCTGGAATTCTATAGACCAGGCTGACCTCAAACTCAGTGATCTGCCTGACTCTTCCTCCTGAGTGCTGGGATTAAGGGCCTGTACCATCACTGCCCAGCAGAGTGCTTTATGTTTTGACTGCTTATATGTAAGCATACTGTGTGTGTGTGTGTGTGTGTGTGTGTGTGTGTGTGTGTGTGTGTGTGTGTGTGTGTGTGTGTGTGTGTGCGCGCGCGCGCACGCGCGCGCGCCTGGTGCCCTTAGAGGCCAGATGAGGGCAGCAGATCCCGTGGAACTGGAGTTACAGATGGTTATGAGTCACCATGTGGGTGCTGGTACCCAAACCCCAGTTTTCTGCAAAAGTAGCAAGTGCTCTTAGTCGCTGAGTCATCTCTTTAAGCCCAGTATTGGTTTTCTTGTGTAGGTAATGCTTTCCAAGGAGAAAAAGTTGTCCCGCTCCCTTTTAACTTGAAAGTTTGGGGCAAATTTTCCTTGAGAGCTGTCAAATCTTTGATGGCAGCTATACAAATTGGCTCGCAGTCTGAACATGAGCGTTCTACCCTTCATCTCACTTAGCAGCTACAGCACATTAGAAAGTATGTGAATTTTGTCTAGGTCCATCAAGCTTCCAAGACTCTCATTGATTACAGTTAAAAGGGAGGAAGAGGAAAGATAGTAATGAGGTATAAATACGAGTCCTCTCTAAAGAAATAGAGGAAAGAAAAAATCTGTTTGCTGAATTTACAGCTTCCCAAGGTCTGGCCCCGCCTATATTTTAGCCTTCTCTGTTTTCCTTCCACCCCTCACTGGACTTCTCCTCCATAGGTAGAGTAGCTCATCATTCCTCCCAACTCCATGGCTACCGGAGCCCCTTCTGCCCACAGCAGCCACACACACCCTTACTACTCACTTACTCTGTTTCTCCTTCTCCGGACGTCTCTCTAAGTTAGCAGTGACATCTTGCCCGAGTCTGAGTTCTAATGGCACGGGTTCGATTCCCTTCGTCGGGGCACAGTTATCTTGTAACCCCCCCCAACTGTGCTGTGAGCTGCAAAGCAGCAAGCCTGTCACAGGAGGGCAGCTGGGATTCTGCACCGCCTTTAGCACTTGCTGAAGGGTGGCCGGCAGACTGTAGCCAAAGCCCAGCTGGTGGGTAATTAACTGAGTGAACACAGCTCCTGGGGTTAAGGTATGACGCTCAAGAATGGGACACTGAAGGGGAGGAAAACAGCCTTCTGGAGAAGGTTTACGTTTGTGTGGGAATCCCCAAGAGCCTGGATGATGGGGTGGGTGGGTAGGCGTCGGGAAGAGGGAAGGAACATGTACACCGTTGTGAGAGAGCTGCAGCCTGCCGCCTGGCAGGGGAGGAGAAAGGGGCGATGTGTGGCAATAAACTCTCTGTCCTCCACTGAAAATTTCCTAAAGTCTGTGCTGAAGTCCTTGCCTTGTCTAACTGATGATTTCATGGTGGCCCGAAGAGGCGTCCATTAGGGGAAATGACCAGAAAGCGAAGTTGAATGGATGACAACAATGAAAGGAACCAACCACACCGCATAGGGCACTCTTGGAGTGACTGTCTCTAGAGGAAAACGAAAGTGAGTGCGAGTTTTGTGGTAAAGATGTGAGTTTTTAGAATTTGTGCTGGGTTTGGGGGATAGAATAAAGTGGAACTTGTGCTTTCAGGGGCCTGGGACACTGAGATTTCAGGGGATGGTAACTCCGGGGGACGATAAGGGGGCTAAGTTTAGGATTCCATTTGGATGTAGCACTTTAGCACGGTGAAGACACAGGGAAAAAGAAACTATGTGTCTAGTATCACTGAGAACTCCTGAATCCGAGTCATGACTTTCTCTAGCCAGAGGGCGTGCCTTGGCATCTTCAGCTCTCACCCCACTGGCGAGAGTCACCTGAATTTCAAGAACGCCCTGCGAAGGTGGGGGTATAGCCTAATATTTTGTTTCTGCCTGTGGGCTAGAACAGCGCAGTAGGACTAACACAGGAAGTGCTGGGCCTCCTGGCATCAGCAGTGGGAAATTGCACGTGGTCTGGAATCAGGTGACATGTGGTTTTTCTGTTGCTGCTGTAACAAAATTGCAAGGAAGCTGGTGACTTGAAACTCGCATCTTTCATTTTACAGGCGTGGAGGCTTGAAGTCGGTGATGGGGCTCCCAGAACCAGAGACCAAGGCAGCAGCTGAATTACTCCCTTCCCAGAGCCTCTAGAGGATTGTCCTGTCTTGCCCTTTTCTAGCTAAGGAGCTCTCTGACATTTTCCATCATCCTCAAAGTTCTAAGTCTTTGTTTTCTGCCCCTCTTCCTCATTTACGGAGCCTTGGAACTGTATTGGGTTCACTTGATTTAAACTGTGTACTCTCAGTGGAGCCTGGCGGTGACACACAGCTTTGATCCCAGCACTGGGTAGGTAGAGACAGGAGTCTGAGGCCAGTTCCAGGGTAACTAGGGCTACACAGTAAGACTCTGTATCCAAAAAACAACAAAACAACAAAACAAAACAAACAAACAAACAAAAACAACAACAAACAAAACCAGTATAGTCTTATGTAAAAGCCTTTATTTAGTAGGTTATATTCCATATGCAACCTTAATTCTTCTTTGTTATATGATATAACATCTTCACATGTAATCCTCATTAGAAGGTTAGGACAAGGACTGCCCATGTTTGTGTGTTGTGGGGGGGGGGTTTAGTCTGCCTAACATTTAGCAAGATCTTGTTTCATTGTAACTTGTAGAAGAGATGGTTATCTGTGTTTTCTTTCTTTCTCTATCTTTTTCAAGACAAGTTTTCTCTGTGTAACAGCTCTGGCTGTTCTGGAACTTCCTCTATAGACCAGGCTGTCCTGGAACTCACGGAGATCTGCTTGCCTGTACCTCCCAAGTGCTGGGAATAAAGGCGTTTGTTCCCCAACAATGCCCAGCGATTATCTATGGTTTTTTTTGTATTTTTTTTTAGTAAAAAAAATCTTTGCATTCAAAAGAGAAGGATTAACAGTGGTTAAAAATGAAACTTTAAGGCTCAATAAGGAAGCTGGCCATTCTGGTGCGCTCCAACAGTCAGCAAGCAGATGCAGGTGATCTCTGGGAGTCCAAGGCCAGCCTCTAACAGTTTAGTTTACATAGCTAGTTCCAGGGCAGCTGGGGCTATGAGAGAGAGAGAGACAGAGACAGAGACAGAGACAGAGACAGAGACAGAGACAGACAGACAGACAGACAGAGACAGAGACAGAGACAGAGAGAGAGAGAGAGAGAGAGAGAGAGAGAGAGAGAGAGAGAGAGACTCTGAGTGTTGGGCTTCAGATCAGGTATAAAATTTGTTCCAAGACATAGAGAGCTTTGAAAATTTTGGAAGACTAGTACTAGAAGATTAGAAACAGACAAATTATGGAGAGGGTTTCTCTCTCTCTCTCTCTCTCTCTCTCTCTCTCTCTCTCTCTCTCTCTCTCTGTGTGTGTGTGTGTGTGTGTGTGTGTGTGTGTGTGTGTGTGTGCCTGTGCCTGTGCGCTATGCATGCATGTGTGTGTGCAAGTGTGGTCACCTGTGTAGATAGGTGTAGAGGCCACAGGATGAAATCGGCATGCATTCTTCAAATACATCTCTGCCGTTTTTGTTTTGAGTCAAATACATCTTCACCACTTTTGTTTTGAGGCAGGGTCTCTCCGTGAACTTAGTACTTACCTATTTTCTCTGAACTGGCTCAGCAGTAAGAGAATGCAATCTACCATTCCAACACTGTGGCTGTGGTGTGCATTACCAGGCCCAGCTTTTTCTGTGGATGCTGGGGACTCAGGCTCAGGTCCTCACACGTACTCAGTGAGCATTGGACTCATTGGGTTTGTGTCTTAAAGGAACTTTTAAGCTCTAGGTCAGGGAGTTTGGCATCACAGTGCTAACCCATAATAACTCCCACGAGCTTTGCCAAGGCAGACATCATGCATGGATCATCCGTATATTATCAGTAGCATGTTGCAATCGGCTCACGCTCCTTCACAACAGCTGATTGTGCACGCACATCTCTTCCCAACTGCATGCTCAATGATAACATATTGGTAGTTTGTAATCTTCCATGTTGTAAGAAGTACTTTATAGACATCAGGAGACACTATGAACCAGGGCTTTCCCCCCTTTGGCTGTTAAACATTTACCACACAGCACTGCCTGCTCTGCAAGTATCTAGTGCAGTGCCAAGACACAGCAGGTACTAGATAAATGTTTGCTCAAGAAATAATAACTTGAATAAGACACCAAACAAAGTCTCCTATCATAAAATTTGAGGTTAAATAAAGATGTATTAGCTGGATGGTAGCACGACACAAATTTAGAAAAGAAAAAGAAAGACTGATCCAACGTCGTCGGGTTGGAGGGAATTTTCTAAGGGTGGAACAAAGCATTGTTCGGCCCTGTGAATCTTGCACAATTCTTTGCCCTCGTGAGGGAATGAGTGCATTGCACTGCAAAGGAGTTCTCACCATGTGGAATGACAAATAGAATCTAGCAAGATGAAATCTCACAGACACAAGTATAGAGTCCCGCTCTGGGGTTATGTAAGAAGGAAGACAACACAGGTTGTAAGAATAAGAGGGAGTAGGGGGTGAGGATGTAGCCTGGCGACAGATGACAGGTGAAGAAAGACAGAAGCACCGTGCTCAGGTACAGGTGCCACACAGGCGAGCATCCGGGGAGAGCGAGCAGATGCAGAACTTAGGAGGTTGACACCAAGAATCATGTCATGTGGATGAGGACATGACCACGCCCAACTTTAGGAGATACTGTCTACATTGGGGGGGGGCATGTAAAAAGCAACACCCAGAGCAGAGTTGCCTTGAGTCCGCATCCTGAAAAAATACCAGCTCTTGCCCCAGCAGGTATTGCCCTTCAAATGGGAGATGCCCCTGGGAATTATATTTCAGGAAACATCTCAGGACTCCTGAAAAGAATTCCCCTTGCTTGGATGGATGCAGTCAGGGATGGATGCTCAAGTTACCCAGAGGTGCAGTCAGAGATTCTTGTAACAGAAAGACTCCATGAAGGTGTTAGTGGGTGACTTAAGAGACTTGCAACTCTTTAAATATTATTTTCATTTTTAGAGTGTGTGTGTGTGTGTGTGTGTGTGTGCCTGTGCATATGTGCATGCACTCTGTGTGTGTAGTGCTCATGGGAACCAGAAGAGGGAGCTCCCATCACCTGGAACTGGAGGCAGAGGCAATTGCAAACCACCCCATTTGGGTGTAGGAACTGAAGTCTGGTCCTCTGCTGGATCAGCAAGGGCTCTTAATCACTGAGGCATCTTTCCAGACTTCCACCCCTGAACTTCCAACTTCTGAAATTCACTAATATCAGAGATGGCACCTATCACCCAGGGGGCTTCTGCTTGTGCCAGACATTGAGTTAGGTGTTTCACATTCCTGATTGAAGCTAAGGTTCAAAACAACCCAAGAAAGCACATATTGTTATCCTTAATTTAACAGATGAAGAAATGAAGACCCGGAGATTAATTGTTCAGTAAAGAAATGGGGCGAGGGTTTGTACTTGGGAACATATGACTCCTGGATTCTTCTAGAGCACTGGGGATGGGAGGAGTGATGATTCTCCCACCATCCCATCGTGGTTAGCTGTGTGACGCCTGTCAACACCAACACCATAGTCAAGGCGACTTGTGGGAAGAAGTTTTCTGGGAAGGACACAGAACAGTAGCTTCCAGTGCTGTTGTCTGGTCAGTGGGAGTGTCTTACAGTCAAGACATTGTACCCTTCCAGAGCTGAAGACACTGGGGCTGAAGTCCTCCTCCTCTAGGACCAGGGTGGGTAATCTGCAGGATTAGAATCTTACTCTGCTCCATCCCTTGGACTATCATCACAAATTCACAATTCTCTGAGGAGAACAACGCTCACAGAAACACAGACCTTGGCCGAGTCCACCTCTTTAGATGAGTGGATATGAATCACGGTTCTATCTTGCCTCCCCACCATGGCGATTTGATTTGGTCTTGATGGTGATTCTGTGCATTCGCAATCACCCCCAGGATTGCTCACATGGAGTCAGTGTCAGACTGGAGCCAGTTTCTTGGGAGCAGCCTTGTGTAGCTGACGTACTAGGGAATCATGATCTTTGAATCATCCACCCATTACATAACTAGTCGGTACCACAGAGCTTGGGTGTTCACCGTGTGTCGCCATACATTGTGGTCACGCCTCTTCGTTGCTGGAATAGCTTGCCTGGCTGGCTCCTGAAGCATTTGAAGGTGCTAAGCTTACTTGGAAGAACCAGTGCCTTTCCTATTGCCTAACGATGGCCATTTCCTACCTGCCCACAGTGTCTCTCTACGGTGTGAGAACATGCTTGTGGGCTAACATTGAATATTGAGCAATTACTTTGAATTTCTCTGGAGCCACCCTTGTTGACAATGCCTCACGCTCACACCTAGAATTACAGTCTGCTTATTATCAGAGGGCAAGCACCTGTCCTCACAGTCAACACAGCCTCAATTATAGGCAGGGATTGTTTCAGGCTTCCAGAGGTTCAATTTATTTTCGGCACAGCTATTTTTCCCCCTGTCCTGAATTATCTCCCTCCATATCTGCATTCTGGTCCCCAATATGATCCACACACGGTCAGTAAATTGTCACAGATTCGCAAACACTGGCACAGCGGATGAGGAATTAAGCACAGGAAGTCTTGCCCAGCAAGAAACAGCAAGTGCCACGCTCTTCCACTCGGGCTGTAATGCTCTCTTTGAAGATTATGTTCCAGTGTGTGGCTGGGACAACTTGAAGTGCATTGGTTAAAAAAAAAAAAAAGGCAGCGCAGCAGGTTTTTATTTTTGTAGGACACGCTAATATTGCACAGGGACTCACTCATCTCAGAATGTTTCAAAGCTACTAAAAGATGCTGGGAGCCAGGTGATGGGGGCACAACCTTTAAACCCAGCACTCGGGAGGCAGAGGAAAGTCGATCTCTGAGTTCCAGGTCAGCCCGGTCTACAGAGTTGAGTTCCAGGACAGCCAAGGCTACACAGAGAAACCCCATCTCCAAAACAAAACAAAAACCCAAGAGGCTGGAAGGGACTGGGCGACACACTGGTCAAAACCCACAGTGGATTCTGATCCCCAGGTCCTCCTTGTCTTCAGAGGGGGCGCATTGGGCCTGATCCTGTGTAGGCCTCCTCTTATCACCCGCTTGCACACACAGTGTGGCCTGTACCAGCAAGAGACACCTGCCTCTTTCTCGGGGATCCTGTTACTACATGGCCATCTTTCTGTCCATCAGGAAGGCATGGGGGCTGGATGCTGAGTCTAGGACGAGCTGAGGGAGGGCTGGCCCTCTGTTTCATTAACCTAAGGGCTCCGAGAGTGCTCTGTACT